GGGTAAGCAGTTCATGATTCAAATCATTCAAGTTACATGAGTAGTTGCCAGGGAAACAACAAAATCTGTTGGTGCGTGGCCAGCATACATATTTGATGAAAAGGGCAGAGGCAGATTTTTTTGTTCATTATTATACTGAATTCCAAGTATTTTCAAAGTTTTCCAGGCCCAGATTTGGAGAAAGGTAACAGAGGCGTCAATCTACAGTAGCTGGCTTGTCAGTGAGCATCATTCTACCCCGTATTTTAGAATGATTTCTACAGGTCCTTCTTATATAAATTCTATAGAGAATATGTGAAGACATTATGATTCTCCCATTTGCAGAGCACACTCAATGTGATCCCCAGGGAAATATGTCAATGCACAGTTGAACCTGATATATGTTTACTGTTTTACCTGCAAAGGCCTAATACATTTTGCATAGCCAATCTTGTAATTGACATTAATTTTCCACAGTGCACAGCCAGGCATGCAACACATGTAGTTCTCAATCAAGAACTTTTCATCTTCCTGGTTCAGCAAATCCTCTTTCTGTTTGCCTCCGGGCTGCACACTCAATAAGCATAATCACCATTGTCCAGTGAACAGAAAGCTCACCAGTCTGCTGCTTCTCTTTCACTGTCCAGTCACAGGCTGAGGGTGGAGAGGTGACATCACTTTATTACTAATCTGTTACAGAGAATGTCAGGGATCCCAACCTGAAAGAAGCCATTTCAGGGTGGTGTCCTTCTCATTTCAGGGAGGTGCCCTCTACGCCCCCCCCCCATCCGCGGAGGGGGATTAGGGGGGCTGGGAGAGAGCACTCCCCTGAAATGATGGCAATTAGCACAGGAAGCATTAGCTTCTTTGCTATCTGCAGGTTTTTTTTCTGATTTTGTTTTTAGTATTCTGACAGTTGCAGTCGTCAGAATATTTTAAAAAAGGCATAAGAATCCATAGCTAGATTCCTATTGGCTATTGCACTTTGCAATAGCCAATAGCAAACTAGCTATTGCACCCGCCCTCTGCTGCTTTCAATCACCAGAAGAGGACCTGATAGAAAAATTCAGGTCCCCCTCTGCTGATTGACAGCAGCAGTGGGCGGGTACATTACCTAGTTTGCTATTGGCTATTGCAAAGTGCAATAGCCAATAGGAATCTAGCTATGGATTCGTATGCCTTTTTGTTTCTTTTCTGACTGACGGTCGGGCCGCGGCTCCCGATGTCAGAAAAGAAAAAAAAAACGATGGCAGGGAAAGGTTTATCTGCTCGATCGAGCAGATAAACCTTTCCGGGAGGAAGTGTTTCTCTCCCAGGCGGCCGGGAGCCGCTATCCAATAGCGGGAGAGTTGGGATGTCTGGAATGTGGCGTCATCCTCTTGGCTGTGTTGTGTGGCAGGCTGTGTAAATCTCAGGACTAGTTAATAATACAATTCCTTTGGCGGGTAAAACAGCTTGCATATATGTATTTTATTTGTGCATTAAGCCATTTACCTGGAGTACCATTTTAATTATATTATTCAAGGCCACAAAGACTTAGCTGAGCTTTAAACTAGGTAGAAACGCTTGGCTAGCTAAACATATTAGGTTAAGAACAGTTCATGCATTGCATGCTTTCACCCTATACAAAATGTAAAACAATTTACAGCCAAGCAATATCAAATAAAAAAGGCTCTGGCTAAGTTCATACAATGCTTCATGTTATACCCATATTCAGGCTGTAACATGAAACCTGGTTACAATGCAAACCCCAGCACCCCCAAACCACCCCCCCTACCCTCCCTCCAACTTACCCGAATCAATGGGTCCTTCTCCCGGCAGGATGCTGACAGTTTTTGAATCTAGTGCAGCTGTGTTTGGCTCCATCTGCACAGCTGCGTCATCCTTTGACAGGATCTGAGAATGGAGAAACTACACATCCTGTCTGCCATAGCGGCAGGAGGACTTTCAGTTTTCAGTGAAATACAAGTTCAGTGACATCACCGCGCTTGTAGTCCATTTATACTTCATTCCTGTAACTGAAAGTCCGTACCTTGGTACAGACAGAGACTGGAGAAACAATCTGCAGCAGCCAGAGCATTGCACCTATGATCCACTGATCACGGTTAAAATGCTTTATTGGCTCCAATTCTAAAAAATAAATGCACATTTCTTCTTTTAACAAAATATGTGCATTTATTATTTCAAAAGGTGGAATTTGCCTTTAAAACAAACACTCCACTGCCAAATTTACATCTTTTCAGCACACACTTGTGTAAAGTAACTTTTTATATTCATATTTAAAAAAAAGAAGATTCAGCAATTATAAGTCGCTCACAAATTCTTTGGGTAAACGACGTAAAACAAAGCAAAGCATTCAAAAACACATGCTTGGTGATAAGATCAACTCCTATGCCAGCTTACAGTAAAAGCACAATTAGAAATGGTTTTATTACAAGCAGTCCAGTTTAGGTCACATGACTGAGATGTAGCGCAAACAAGACACACAAGGCAGAATGCGCATTGCTGATTTGGGCAGCACACATGTACCTGGAAGTGGCACAAAATCAGGAAAACTTTGCACTGCCTTCACTTGAATGATATGAATAGCTGAAAGTGAGCGAGAACTCACTGAAGACCCATCTGCTGCTGTGGACACAAGAGTGGAAACAATGCATATAGATAATCACACATTTTATATTAAGAAACATCAGGACAATTGCCTAACGTCTGCAAGAGCTTGTGATCTCAGTTTATCTCAGTACTGTACCTTGTTACCAGTTTAACAGAGTTTAAAGTGTAGTTCCACTTTTTGCAAATTTGGGAAAACCCCTCTATATGGTTATGTCTCCCCATTCACACATCATGCCTAATAATGATTTTAAAAAATTGTACCTTTTAGATCAGTGGTTCTCAACCCGTGTAACCTCGGGACCCACATGTTTCCATTTCTTTGGAGGAGGCCTTTGGGCAGACTGCAGCTACTCTGAGCAATTTCAATGAGTCTGTCCAAAAGACATTTGGAGAAAGAGTACGTTTTCCCTCATTAACATACAATGCCAGAAACCAAGCGTCTCGACCTTTAGGGTGTTATTCACAAAGAAGCCAAAGGATCTAGCCGAAGCTTTGGCTAATCCTTCGGCTCACTTCAGGGCTGCTGCACGGGCTATTCACAATAGTCCGTACTGCAGCCGAACAGCTCAGAAGAGGCAGAAGTCACAGCCAAAGTGGGGAGAATGGTCTGCCGAAGCTAACCGTTCTCCCCGCAAATAACTTAACTTGGGGTCCCTCCTAACATTACTGCCAGGCCTAAAGGGTCCGACATGGTTTGGGAGGGGGCCCCCGTTCCATTTTTCTTTCTTTTGTTTACATTTGTTTTATTCTGCTCGCTCCCTATGAGAAATAGGGGCGAACGCTAGCGAGTGAACTGCTGGCAGTTCGGCTCAGCCGATCCAGATGTTGGATCGGCTGAGTCAAATGGGTTCTTCACTTCGGCTGAACTGAAGGGAAGTGGAGGGAGCCGAGTGGAGGGAGCTGAAGTTCGGCTGTTTTCAGCCGTACAGGGCTGAAGTGAAAAGCCGGACAGCATTCGGCTACCTTCTCTTTGGTTCAATTATTCACCTGGCTGCCTTCAGCAGCTTAGTGAATAACCCCCTTAATCTTTGTTAGGAAAGACTGTGTTGAAAGCTAAATTTACAACCGATTATAAGATCTGCCAGCACAGCACAGACAGGGCTAAATATTTTAAACATAAACTCCCCAGACCCTCCTTGTAATTACAGGCAATAGAAAAACTTCCATTTTAGGGTTTTCACAGAAGAGCAAGTAAATTGGGAAGCAACACTTTTTTTTTAAAGTAATGCTAGGTCAATGGGAACATGTAACAAATATAAAATAGGTGTTATCCCAATTTGGCTGCCAAAGTGGAAATACACTTTAAGACATCCCTGAAATATCTTTATATACTTCATTATTAACACAAGCTGACATGCACAATAATGGTCACATATACCCATCAGTAAAATGATCAGCTATAAACTCTGTCACTCCTTTCTACAGTCTAAGAACAATACAATAAACCAATGTAGGTCATCATAAAGCTAATATCACAGGATGAAAAAATTAAAAGAAACCAATTCAGGGAAAACATTTTGGCTACCGTCACTGAATACCCTGATTTTAAAATGCTAGTTTCCTGGACTATGCCAATCCAAACGCTTTAATATTTTGAGTCACTGACTGAAAATAAGGAAGGAGATCATAAATTTAGTCTTTCCCCTGAAATTAGCTACACTTATCTCCTGAGTAGGTGGCTCTGAAAACATTGAGGCCAAAGTGGGCCAGGAAAACTATGCAATGGTAGCCCACTTATTTATTTCAGGAAAAGTTTCCTTTAATTTTAGAGAATTTTCTTGCGTCAGGAAGCTGCTAAAAAGAACCAGGAACATATTGAGGGGAATGTATCAAAACTGAAGTAGTTGCACATAGTAACCAATCATCTTCTCTCTTCAGTTTCATCAGTTAGGATTTGAAAGTGAAATGGAAGCTGATGGTTGCTCCAGATTCTGTCTGTTCCGGTTTCCATAAATTCCCCTGATTGTTCCCAAATGCTGGCTGCTTCGTGTCAAGGCAGAACCTTAGAAGAAGCTATACAACTGTACCACAAACTGAACATAAAAGGTTTATTCATATGCTTTGCTCCATCATTTTCAAATACATCCATGTGACAAGTACACTGGAAATGTAATATGATTGTGATGTTTGTCTAGCATTTTTTTCAATGACTCAATCATCAGTGTTATTTTACTTTCCAGGACCACAATTGTCGGTTTTTCTTTATTTGACAGCTTTCAAGGGAATGCTTAGTCTTTTAGATTTAGAGATTTACACATCAGTCTAATGTAAGTAATCTTACCAATATGTGCAAAGTTTTTGAACATCTTTTCCTATGTATAGTTTTAAATGATATATGTGTATCGGGGTAACCATATTTGCTCAACAAATACTCAAGTTCTGTTTCCTGCTTTGCAGAGCTACACAACAACTTTGCTATACTGTTGCTTATCACAATAATCAATTAAACTCTCAATTTAAAGCCCATCTCCAGAGAAACAAAAAAAGGACCCTTGAAGTGAGCTACCCCTGCACTGCAAGGGTTAAGCGCTTATTTTTGTCTAGGGGCTGGAGTAAAGCAGATTTATTTATTTCCTGCCAGCTCCCTCCAAGCTGCTAGACCGGTCCCTGCAGCCTTTCCTCCTATGGGCTCCAGCAGTCTAAGGACCGCTGGTGCCATCACATCTAATGCAGGTTCCATAGACCTGTATTAGACATGAGGGTGCCGAGGGACAATCCACCACCCAGAGTGGAGGGGAGAAGAGGTGAGCACTGACCACTAGGGGAGTGGAATTCAGATAAGTAAATCTGATTTACTCCAGCCCCTAAACAAAATTAAGCACTTAACTGTGGCAATGGGTGGAGGAGGGGGGTGTGGCCCCAGGGGGAGGGGGGTGGCCCCACTGAAAGGGTCCTTTTTGTTTGCCCGGAGGTAGGCTTTAAATCAACTAAATACATTTCGGATGCATCCAAAGATTTAATGTCTTACACTTAGCTTTCTTTCTAAAGTAGCCACGGCCTAAGTAGAAAAGCCTGTCCCCTGCCAAGAGCTGCCGAGTGGGACCCTTGCTCTCTGAAGGGAAGAAATGGTCTCTTTTTAGAGTTCCAATGCCCCCTACGGAGTCCGATCTATAGCTCTGCTATCAGCAGAGCTCACACTAACTGTTGATTGGAAAGATTTGGCTTTGACTTTTGTCTTGCGATGGTTGTAAGGTAATTAAAAAAACGTACGATCTGCCTATCTTGGACAGGCAGATCGTACTTGCGATGATCGCAAGCCGTGCCCCCTTGAGGGGCGGGCTTCCGATGACCGCAATGCAGAACGGGCAGTGTGCGCTAGCGCACACCAGCCCGTCCGGCTTTTATCATACGAACATGCTACACACCCGCCGAACATCGTACAATGCTCGGCGGGTTTTCGAACATGTTCGTAAGATAAAAGTCGTGCAACCCTATCGTACGATTATCGCAAGGTGTGTGGGGACCTTAAGATGAAGCGTTTCGGACTACTGCAGAAACATCACAGCTTTCCAGCAGAGAGCAAAGCTCTCACTGAGCAGCTGCTGGCAGGGGACAGGCTTTTCTACACAGGCTGTAGCTGATTTTTAAGGAAAGCAAACTGTGAAACATTGAAAATTTAGTTAATTTAACCTAAAAGTTAAATTGGGCTTTAACGAGGGAAGCTTCAGTGACTGTAGTGGAATACAGATTTCCCCTAATGGTTAAGTTACAATTATCGAGTTTCAAAAGCAAATCACATGAGTATACTACAATAACTTAAAATATGTGCATACCAATAATACAGTATATATTCTCTTTAAAGGGACCCTGTCATATAGGACTCACTAAGGCTGCCATTGCTGAACTTCTATTTTAATAATGGGGGTTACCTACTTGTGTTTTGGCTTTAAAGCGGTCTAAAGCTGGCCATACACCTGTCAATTTTTTTCGTTCAACCCGCGGGCTGAATGGAAGAAATTGAAGTGATTAGTCCATCAACACAAACAGCGTGTCAATCGAGGACTTGCCAATGTTTGCATTGTATTTCAGAATACCCAATCAGAGCAGGCAGCTCATTGGCTGCCAGCTCTGATCGTACAAAGTATTTCCAGCCGGCTCCTTCGATCAGCTGATTGAAGAATGCTGGCTGAAAGGGAGCTGACAGCCCCAAATACTGGCCGAATTTTAGCCGTTACATTAACAACCGGCCGAGATTCAGCCAGTGTATTGGCACCTTTAGTCTCATCTGGAACAAATCTAGAGATGTGGAATTCTGACACTTTTATAGTACCCATTTGCAGCATGCTTATTCTAGGTCTGAGACTCAAAGTACACAAATCAGACACAGCCAGGCAACTAGCAATTTGTTTAGGAGGCCAGCAATGGCATCCCCCACACTTTTCTTGTGACAATGTCACTTAAATTCCAAACATTCTTCTAATGGATTATGAAAACAGAAAACTGTAAAAGTGGCGGAATGATTAAATAAATCACTGATTCACATTTTCTCAGTAGTCATGTAAGGGCGTAACAACTCAGATGTACAAAATACTGAGCCACGTTATGCTTCATTTACTAATTATTACCGATTAGTGAACTGTGATTTGCCCAGCCCTAAAAACACAACAAATTATCTAAATAGCTGTACCGTGAGAGCACATCGTGCTGGGACAGCGTTTTTGATGAGTAAGGTGTAACAACCACCTATGTAAATATTAAAGAGACCCTGTCACCAGACCATTCATTTCAACAAAAATCTTCCCATAGGATTATATAAAATGTGCATTTAAATAAGAACTCCAGGCATGTACAAAAGTAACCTTTGCAGTGGGGCTACCCCCCGCACTGCAAGGGCTAAGTGCTTGTTTTGGTCTAGGGTCTAAAATGAAAAAAAATTATATTCATCTGATCCTCAGTCCCTAAGCGTTGACAGCTCACCTTTCTCCCTCTCCACTCCGGCTGTGTAACATCGCCCGGCATCCTCACATCCAAATGCAAGTGAATGGACGTGATTACATCATGGGTCTTTAGACTGG